ATCCTTATAATTACAATTAGAGTTGGATTCTTTATTCAAATTTTTAACGACCATGCAATTCTTTGTACTGTAGGATTGAAGGGAGGTGCTGACAACATATTTAAAATTACGGTTGGAATGAAGAAGTTCATTTGTAAATTTCGGTGAAAACTAATTTAGTTGTTTTTATATTTTACAGATTTGTTTTGTAAATTTAGGTGCTTTAAATCTAGTTGTTTTTATCTTTAGAAACTTCTAAAAGTTGTAGACGATGCACATTGATTAATTAATGAAGTTTACATTATTATATCAAATATTGAATCTTGGAACGTATCTCCATTTTGTGACAAAAATTGAACAACTTCATGTTTGGAAAAAAGACAAATTAAAAAAATAATATTATGAAACAAATGCAACAGATTTAAAAAAAAAAACAAATGCGGCGAAAATGTTTTCGTCCCATTTAAGGAGCGGTGAAGGTATGTGATGAAATGGTTATTGCATGTGAAGCTTTTTCGTCGCACACTTTGCGACGAAACAATACGCGTCGCGTTGTTTGCAACGAATGTAGCATTTTGTCGGTGAAGCGCTTCAGCAACATTGATTCAACGACGTTAATTGCAACAAAACATTTTCTTCGCTAATAATTATTAGCAACACTCTTTTACTTTCAACACGAAAATATTTCGTCACTAAAAGCTATATTTTTTTGTAGTGAAGTTGTAACAACATAGTCGTTGTGGCTGAGATCATATACCCTTAACATTAGTTGAATATTTTGGGGTCCTAGGTCACAACATTTAAGTAAAAGAATGTTGAAACTGATCAATGGCGACCTAAGGGGCGGACACCTATTTTTGTTATCTAAAGGTGAAGACTTTGAAGTGGGAGAACACTCGGCCCAGCGGGCGAACATGGCGGGCTCCGACTCCGCGCACCTGCTGACACCTTTCGAAGCACTTTCGAGTGTGCGCTTTAGTTTTCGAATGTGTTGTTCAGCCTCACGAGTCTACGAGCCTCACACCTAATTTCCTCTTCCCGACCCCCCGAAAAAAGGCGGATGCTCCTGTAGGTAGGAGCAACTTCACTTTCGGTGTTCGGCGCTCCCTGGAGACCGCTTCTATGACATGAATCCACGACCTTCCAAGTAGCAGGTTGAAGAAAGTCGGGATGTCTAGTACCTGGTTGTTGGAACGACGCGAGCCAGACCTCAATTCAAAAAGATGAAGGGCCATAGGTTCAAAAGATTATTTCCATGAATAATCTTGTCAACTCAGGAGAAATATTTTGGGGACAATTTTGGGTTTTTGGGATTTTTGACCCCTTCCAATAATCATTTTGGATTTTTGACCCCTTTTGATATTTACTTATTCATGACCCCTCTACTTCAGTTTTCTGACCTTTCCCCTTATTTTGCTTGGTAAAATTACCAAGTTACCCTCAATTTAAAAAAAGAAATCAAACCCAGCTCTCCCCTCCCTGTCTCGATCCTTCCCCTCCCTCACTTCGCGCTTCATCTCCGTCGTTTCTCTTCTCGTCTCCCTCGCTTCGTCTCTATCAGAGCTTTCCCCCTTCCCTAATCGAGGTCATTTTTCTTTCAAGTGTGAATGATTTTCTACTTTTTTTTTCCTTCGTTCTTTGCATGGGTGTGAAAGACTTCAACCTTCGGCTCTATCTGAAGTAGCCAAGGTTCTTTGCGTGTTGCTTCCATTAATTTTTTTTTGTTGAAGGGTTCCATCTCGGCTTTAAGCCCGGTGGGTTTA